ATCAACTGACGTTAGACGTAAAACTAATCGACAACTTCTTCTGCAGGATGGAGAATTTTTTCTACCCTGAACAGGCTTATCAAGGTACGTCTAAATACTAGTGATCTTTTTCTTAGGGCCATCAAAGTAAAATTCAAACAAAATAGGTGATGTTTGCGTTTATTTTCAGATCGCCTACCGATATCAAAGCCGAAGTATGATGATTTACAAGTACTTAAACAATTCTGTGGGGATGCTGCAAGACAATATTTTACCAATCTCCCATATTACTCTGAAAATCAAAAGAAGCCAAACAAAAAACGTAATATTGTAAGGTAGATTCTGAATAAAATATTTTGTGCTTTGTAATTTTTGTGTTTAGTTATTTAAAGCTGACCTATCTTTCATTCTGAAAATTCAATCTTCATTTTACAGTATAATGGTTTTACTAATCACTTACGTGGAGTTATCACAATGGACTAAACACGTTATTAGCAAGTCCAAAATGTTATTTGTTTAGTTTTTATTTTTTAAGTGCCATAAGACGATATAATTGAATTTCTATTGAATTGTTTCAAAATTCATTAGGTATTTAATAATATATTTACTATCATTTTAGAATTTTCTAGGAATTTTCTATACAAGATTATAACACTATTTTAGCTCTCCTGTAAAAGTTAAAAAATGTGACTGAACACGTTTTTCCCGTGGACTCTTCAAGTGCAAATAAAATAACAAGAGTTAAGATTTTTATATGTAAGTCAAAATTTTTTACGTTTTTTTTAACTTTAAACCTTAATATATAAGCTTTCTTATTTTGTAGCTTACCACTATGTTACAATGAGGTCTTTACATAAGAATTCGACATAATATAATTGTTTCAATAAATTATTTTTATTTTATTCCTACTTTCTGGTCGTGCAGAAAATACAGTGTGTTACTTGAATATAATGAAAATTCGGTTTACTCGTGGTTCGATTTACTCGCACTCGCTAACACTCGTGTTCGGAATCTCTCAATTTTCGATTTCTAGTTCTAACCTTGTATACAATATAGTATTATTGGATAATATAAAAACAACACGTCCGTTATTTTATAACTATTTTTGGTAGCACATAAATTATTAAAATAGAAGATTATAAAATATTTATACAATGACAATCTGATAATACTGTCATTTTAAAGTATTTACATTTTAGAGCATTTAGTGACTACAATTCTGGAACTATAATATATTAAATAGTAAAAAATTCTACATTTGACTAAAATAAATCAACAACTGACCAAATATTTTCATTGAGACAAATTCTTGAGAAACCCTAGAGTTCGATATCGATACGCACCATTTACTAGTGGATTTACACGCTGTATATGACTTGTTCAAAAAACGGAACTAACACTTACAGATACAGACAGCAGAGTCAGAATTCAGAACATTTTTTTAAGGCCATTCGACATCATCGTCAGGTCCACAGAGTATCTCAAGAGTCTCGGTCGTTAAGAGCATCTGAACTAAAAATGAAATAAAAGCACCCAAAAATGAGCATCTAAGTCAACTAAACATATAGCTTGATTAAAAACTGATGATATGGAATTATAGATTGCGTACTGCTTCATATATCTAGGATCGTAATATGAATTTATTTAGTTGGTACGGCTCAGATGGATAGAGCAAAGGGTAATAAGGCAAACATATACAGTGTTTGTGACTCTCTAAAAACAAGGGTACTGAAAGGTTTTGTTGATGTATAATACTTATACAAACCTATTCTAACCATTTCCTGTGTAAGATTGATTGATAATTTTTATTTATAAACAAATTAGGGCAAAAATGTACTTTTTAGCGTTTTTATTTTTGGTAAGATATACAGATTTTTGGTAAATCGATTTTTCCGTTTTATCCCTACGAGAGGTGATCGTCTTAGAGGGATGCCTTTATTTATAACAAAACTAAAGCACCTTTGATATTTGCTAATACGATTTGGACGTTTCTATTCGAGTTAAATTGGATTAATAAAAGAATGAAGAAAATTGCTCAGTTGGAAGTTGGAAGCCGAAACTTTCAAATTAAATTTTTTTCAATATTTGTACTTCATTAAAGAGGTCATTTGTACATTATTTTTAAAGCTTTACCGACGATTCTCCTGAAAAGAAAATTAAACCAAAATTTTTTTACGTACATTTTGAATATTCAAAATTAAAATGACGTAAATTAAATCCGTTAATTGTTATAAACAAATAAGCTGTGAATTTATATAAAAAGCTAACTTTAACCCTAATTGACCTAGGTCAATTTTTTTTAAATTCGTGAAAAATATATGCTTCCTTAATAGGTAAAAATAATTATTGTACGAATAGTAACAAAACAGTTATTCTATTTGTTTTTGAGTAAAAAATTGGCATATTTTTATAAAATGGTTTTTTAATAATAGTTTTTTTTCCTTTTTATTCTTTTTTACCATTTTTAACGAAGAAGCGTCACTCTTTCATTTCTAAACCAAAAAACTGTTTTAACTGCATTTTTTTTCTGACTTATTATTGCAAAAAACAGCTTTCTAGGATAAACAAATAAAATAAAATTTAAACAATTCAACGAATTGCTATTAAATTTTTTATCACATATTAAACATTAAAAGTCCCAACTTTGAGAAACATTTCAAAGCCTTAGAACAATTTTGGAAATAGTTATAAATAATATATTTTTTTAAATTTTTCTCTTTTTTGCATTTATCTAAACAAATAATGGGTATATAATTTTTTGAAAATCGTTACTTTGAAGCTTTTTGTTAAAAAATAGTTCAACTATCAAATGTAGCTGAGATAATTTTAAGTAAAAATGTTTATTGACCCTTTTTGTATAGAACAGAAATAAATTAACAGTGTAGAAATAAATCCATTAAGTTATAACAAAACTAAATCATCTATGAGCTTTGGTATTAAGGTTTTTTAGACGTCTCTAGTAGAGTTACATCGGATTAATAAAAATAATGCAAAAAATTACTTCGTTGAAAGCCAATAAAACGCATTTTTTACATATGCCAATTTTTTTAACTTTTGTACTTTATTATAAAGAGGTCGGTCATCTATACTGAAGTGAAAATAAAACCAAATTTTTTTACATAAACTTTCAATATTCAAAATTAAAATGACGTAAATTACATCCCCTAATTGTTATAAACAAAATATCTGTGAATTTATAATAAAATTTGGATAACTTCGGCCCTAATTGACCTAGGTCAAATTTTTTCCTTTTTATAATCGTGAAAAAATATACGCTTTCTGAATATGTTAAAATGTAAAAAAAAATATTTTACGAACAATATCAAAAAAGTTATTCGATTTGTTTATAAGTAAAAAATTAGCATATTTTTGTAAAATAATGTTTGCATCATTTTTTTTTACTATTTTTAAAGAAGACCTACTCTTTCATTTAATAACCGAAAAATTGTTCTAACTGCACTTTTTTCTAACTAATATTATTGGAAAAACAGCTTTCTGGGATAAACAAATAGAATAAAATTTAAATAAATCAGCTCTTTCAAATTTTTATCACATATTAACCCCTTAAAAAACTATTCCGAAATAATTTATCTCGTACTTGTGTCTAAAATAACCAACCCGAGATATCTCGTTATGGGCTATTTAGTGGGAATTCAAGCGATTATTTCGTTCTTTCGAGTTACGCTTTCGGAATTTGAACGAAATTAGACGGAGTAGTTGGTTCATATAGCTGCCGACCGTGAAGGAGATAAAAAAAAACGTAGGATTGTTCAAGACTACAACAATACTAGAAGGAAGCCTGGAAAGAGGTATTACAAAAAAAAATATTCTTCCACCTTCTCGAACATGCTGATTGAAATGCTTTTGTGCTGTACAAGAAAAGCGGAGGGCTAGGAAGGCTTCTAGAATTTCGAATGGGTTCGATAACGAGACTGATTGAGGTTTGCTATAAAGATATAGGTGTGTAAAGAGAAAGACTTTCAACGTTTCCAAACCTACTTAGACTTACCGGTCGACTGCTCTAGGCCAGGTAGATAATAAAACATTTTGCTCTCAGGTTTTATTTATCCAAACAAAAACCCGCTAACGAGATATCTCGGGATAGTTATTATATAATATATCATCAAGCGTTAAAAAAAATAAAAATAAAGCAAAAATCAACATTGTATAACATTTTTGAATTCTGGAAGTAGTGAAGAAGCAAGTGCATTAATAAAAAAAATGGGGTTTTTTAGGACAGTTTTTGGAAAAATAAATGGTTCGTTTTAAGTGGTTAAGCGTTACAACACCCAACTTTGAGAACAATTTTAAAGCCTTAGAGGTATTTTTGCAATAGTTATAAATATATTAATTTTTTCGAAATGTTGCTATTTTTTGCATTTATCTAAACAACAAATATGTATATATGTATACAAATCTTCATCTTAAAGCTTTTGGCATGTTTCAAGAGATGTTTAGGCCATAAACCTTCAAAACCCTATGTTTTTCAATGATAAATCAAAACGCCAAAAAGTACAATTTTTCACACTAAATTGTTTATAAATAAAAAGTATCAATAAATTTCACGAAGGAAATAGTTAGAAAATGTTGATATAAGTATTATACATGAAAAAAACCTTTCAGTACGCTGGCTTTTTGAGTGTCACAACAAAAACCTTATTACCCTGGACTATCTATTCAGGCGGGAATAAGACACAACAGAAAAGTTCTTGACATAAGACAGCTGTTAGTTCGACGGACCAGATGAAGACTGGAACTTAGGTACTTAAACAACTGAGAATGAAAATTTATTGGATGTACAGGAGGGAGAAACGTTGGAAGAGATATGGGGAATGAAGACTCCTTGACTCATAATGAGCTGTAACGTCACTAATGATGGTAAATAATTCTATAAGACTTCTCAAGTTTCTTGAAATATTTGGTACTATTGGCACGTGTTATCCTTTATGTACAAAAAAAAATAAAAATAAAACAGTAAACTGCTCTCTACAGTATTACTTTTCTAAAATAGCCAGCCAATATTAGAGTTCTCCAAAAGAACCATCACAATTTCCTTTATAAATATTAACAGCGATATCTTTAAAAGTGTTTAACAAAATAGTTACCACTTTGGCACATAATAAATTATCATTTTCGTCTGTGATATATTCAATAGCAATATTATCTTTAACCTGTTCTTTTACTAGTTCGAGAGATCTTTTAAAACTTATAAAATTAAATCTGTCATTAACCTTTTGTCGAACTACACAACCACATAATATAATGTTTTGGGCTGTACACATTACACAACCCCCAAATCTTTTGGGAGCACTTCGAAGATGTTGTAAGAAATTTAATTTCTTGTCCAATTCAATCATCTCTTCCGAAATATGTGAGCTTTCTGTTGTAAAATACAGTAAAACAGATTCTGTGGTATTACAAATACTGTCTTTGATATACCTAACTTTTACAGAACGATAATTCAACGGTTCCTCTTCACTTTGACGAAATTTACACACGACTATATTAATTGGTATATCTTTAAATAAAAATGATATCATATGTTTAACTGTAGACCAATCTAATCGATCCAAACCACAACCAAGTGTAGGCACAGCTAATTTAACGACTTCAAACCTTTTAATAGTGTCCCTCAGATTCTTCATTGAGCACCAAAAATCTTTGTACGTCGGTTTATCACTCGATTTCTTCTTTGTTATTAAATAAAATATATATCTTTTGTTAATTTTTAAAAAAGCCAATCCGCCGGGCATCTGACGTTGATTGAGGAGAACATCAACCATGCCAAAAGAATTTCTAAACATAACCGCTATGCCACTTCCCATTCTTAGATCCTCGGCTACACAATGAGCTAAAGACCAATCCTCTGGCATGTCAAACAAATCTCTATTTTCTTCCTGAATTTTGGAAAAGTCCGGAGTTGTTTTACTATGCAATTCGTCCAAAAATTGTTTGTATTCATTATCTTCCTCTGCATATTTTTTATCAAACATATGTGCAATACTCGTCACTTCATTAGATATCTCCGATTTTTGATAACCTCTTTCTTGTTTTAGATCTCTCGGTTTTTCATTACTTCGTCTACCAGTCAGCTTGTCATTACTTCGCCTACCAGTAAATAAAACGTCAGTAGAACTCTTTTCGTAGTCTCGTTTTTCTCTGAAAGAGTGTCTAGTTCTTCTTTTATCAATTCTTGTACTTTCCCCAAATTCACTGTGATTTGTAGAAGTATCTGCATTGACGGTTTCGTTGTTATATTCACTTATGAAAAGTTGTTTGTATTCATCGTCTTCCTCGGCATGTTTGTATTCAACGTCTTCCTCGGCATAATTTTTATCAAACATATGTGCAACACTCGAAAATTCGTTAGATTTTTCTGTTTTTTGATAACCTCTTTCTTTTTTTATGTCTCTGGGCTTGTCATTACTTCGTCTACCAGTAAATAAAAAAACCCCAGTAGAGTTCTTTTCGTAGTCTCGTTTTTCTCTGAAAGAATGTCTAGATTCTATTCCTTTATCAATTCTTGTACTTTCTGTTTCATTTACTGTTTCTTTGTTATATCCTCTTATGGCTGTACGATTTTGTGTATGACCGTGATGTTGATTCTTAAACCTTTGTTCTACTAACTCGTAGTTGAATTTCCCTTGAGATATTTTTTCTGCATTTCTATCTACCTCACATTCATCAATCACAATATTAAAATTTTTATCTTTTTTGTCTCGTACGTTACGAGTATAACTTTTAGAAGGATATACTTCGTTTTTGTTATGTCGCATATGTTTTGAATTTTCTCTAAGTGACTTATGAATGTTTTCGTGACTGTCATCGTTCTTTATTATTTTGTCTGTTCTGTCTTCAATTACTTCTTTTTCATTATTTTCAATAGATGCTTGATTTAATGTTTTACTTTCAACAGACACACCACAAGTATTAACATCACCAAGTGGGTATTCTTGTAAAGAATGAATATATTTTACACTTGTGCATCTATTATGTTCCACACGATAAGGGTTGTTTATTTCCGATGGAATGAATTCGCTCACTTGTCTATTTTGTTTATTTTCATAGTAATTGGATCCTGTAGTTCCAGATACTATTTGTTCTCTGCTGGAAGGTTTGTTACATTTTACATCTTTAAATTTTGGTCTTCTACCAACAACCTCCTTTTCATATTCTTGACTATGATCGTTCCTAGAATGCCTGGATGTTGAATTTGGACTTTCAATTTCTGGTGATTGATTAGAATGCCTGAAACAACAAAACATTTTTTTATTTTGAAGTGCAGTAAGAGATGGTATTTTTAAAAACATTTTGATGACGTCATTCTTACACAAAACGTAATGGATTTAAATGGTTTAGGACGTACTTAAGTTAATACTTTAGGTTCATTTTACCCAATGGTGGAAATTCAAGACGAAGATCTTAATATTTTATTTCATGTGATACCAAAATGAGCACTGGATGTTATAGTTACTCTTGGATACAATATACTGAGACAGTGGCGGCTTGTGTTAATTTATAAAGGGTATTAAATTAAGGAATGTAATTATAGAAACGGTGAATAAGCGCCGTAGGCAATTGCGGAGTAGACGAAAAATTATTGGGGACCTTGCTCTTTTTTTTTTCTAAATTTGATATTATTTATTACTATTGTTCCTATATAAATAAATTCACTTCTCGTATGAGATGAGATTTGAGATCATCTCAAACTTAAGATAGGTTGTTCTAAATTTATATTGTCTATATTTAGATATATATATATATATATATATATATATATATATATATATATATAATATAATATAGACAATATAAATTTAGAACAACCTATCTTAAATTTGAAATTTCTTACAATAATTAAATTATATTAACAAAATTTGGTACCTTTCTATCACTGAATGCCTAATATAAAACTGTTTTCCATATATAAAAGGTTCAATCACCACTCAATATTTTCTTATCAGCCTCGGTTATCCTTTTTTTTTGTAAACTTGCTTTTTCCAAATATACCACAATGTGTTAATTATTAGCTTCCAACAATTTTAAATTATCTTTCTTTTTAATAACATTTATAAATGGGCAAAATATTCTTCTTTATTTATTTACTAATTATTTGAGAACCGCGAGAAAAACCCTATACTTATATATACTTATATATGTTATTTTAAATTATTCATTGCTCACACATAAACAAAACATCATAGCAATATATATATATATTATATATATATATATATATATATATACAGGGTGAGTCATGAGGAACTTTACATACTTCTACCATATGTAGAGTCCCTCAGGGAGCATATCATGTGGCCACTAAAAAATGTCAACTCCTCTTCTTTATTAATTAACAGGGTGATTTGTGTAATTGACCATTTATTTCATTTTACTGTAGTGTTTATACGGCTCATTTGATTTTTTTGAATTTTTGCATGATACAGTACACTACTATCAAGCATTCGACTGGTATTAGCTAAACTAAAAAATTCCAGGACTGGCTTTGGAAAAATTAATTTAGGGATTCGTATTAAATATTACACCCTGTATATATATTTTTTTAAATGCAAAAAGTGATTTTCAAACTACATAAATAGCCAATGAAAACGACATATGCGACAATGTTGTCGCACTTTTATTAAATTTTTAGTGAACGATCAAATCTTACCAAAAATAGAACAACCATAATGAAGTATCAAATTATAAGGTAATTAATTTAAACAAATGTTAAAAATTTCAAACATTTTAATTGAAATGATAAACTGAGTCACTGCACAACAAAAAACAGTAACTACTAACAATAACGAAGAACAATTTAAAAAAAAAACTAAAAATATGTACATAGTTATGATAAACCCATAAATTAGAACTGGAAAAGATACAATAATGGTAACAAAATAAAAATAATTCAAAATAGATTTTCCAAATGGAACCCTGCAGCCTGTACACATTTTTGTTGCCGAATTGTTAATTGACGTATTGAATTACGGATACTCTGGGGATCGTTTTAATAGTATTACAACAATGTATAATTCTATCAATTAATTGTTGTCGGTTATTAATATTCACTGCGTAAACTAGTTGCTTCAATCGTCCCCAAATATGGTAATCAACGGGATTGAAATCAGGGGATCTTGAAGGCCACGAAATAGGACCTGCACGTCCTATCCACCTGTTGCCATAAACATTATTGAGATGTTGTCTCACTGCCAGTAAAAAGTGTGGGGGTGCCCCATCATGCTGAAAATACATCCCTCGGATAGCAACGTTCGCGTTGGCAAGCAAATTCGGCAAAATATTTTGTAGAAAGTTCAAATAGACCTGCCCTGTTAAAGGACCATCAAAAAAGTGAGGACCTACTAATTGGTTATTTATGACACCAATCCACACGTTAACCGAAAACCTTAACTGAGAACGACGTTCTCGAATAGCATGGGGATTTTCTTCTGCCCACACATGTGAATTTCGTGAATTATTTATCCCGTCTCTGGTAAATTGGGCTTCATCTGTAAATAGTGTCCTGTATAGCGTTGGTCGATTATTGTTAATCCATCTACAAAATTCCAACCTATCGATCTCATCTCCAGCATGTAGTCGCTGAACCATTTGAATGTGATATGGGTATAGATTATTTTTTTTGTAAGACTCTACTTACTTTTGATTGAGTAACATTGAGTTCTCGACTTACTTGTTTAGTGCTTATTGTAGGGTTCATAGTAACGGCGTCCATAATGTCATCTTCCTGCGCTTCATCTACATGTCCTCTGTTGTTCCACTAGGAAAAGTGCCATTTTCTCGCAAATAATTAAAAACTGACCCAAATGTTGGATGACTGGGAGTTCGACGATTAGGAAATCTCCTGCGATATTCTCTACTAGCAGCCCTACCATTCTCATTACAGAATCCATAAACAAATATTATGTCTGCATATTCTGTGGTCGAAAACTGATGTGGCATTTTGAACGAAAGTAACAAAAGCTCTACCAAAACTAACACAATGTACTTAACGTAGATATGACAGAAGAAATATGTATTCTTGTACACATAAATAACAATTGATAATGACAATAATGACAATGGGTATAAAATATCAAGAAACGTCAAACGGTCAACGCCAACCTTCATTTTAAACTTTTTTAGATTTATTTTTATTTAGTACAGTTGATGCAATGTATTATTATTTGACATAAAATTTTAATCATTTACAATCAACAAAAACTAACACATACAAGAGGTTTGACTTTTTAATCAATTTAATTTATTATTTATCGAAAATACTGCCCCAATACGATCTATGAGTAAAAATTTAAAATTGAAAAACAATTGATTCTATCGTAGAGATAATACAAAGTGACAGTAAAGATGTTAATTTTCTACGTATTAGATTATGTTGTAGGAACTCATTTTAATTAAAATGTTTGAAATTTATAACATTTGTTTAAATTAATACCTTATAATTTGATACTTCATTATGGTTGTTCTATTTTTGGTAAGATTTGATCGTTAACTAAAAATTTAATAAAAGTGCGACAACATTGTCGCATATGTCGTTTTCATTGGCTATTTATGTAGTTTGAAAATCACTTATTGCATTTAAAAAAATATATATATACAGGGTGTAATATTTAATACGAATCCCTAAATTAATTTTTCCAAAGCCAGTCCTGGAATTTTTTAGTTTAGCTAATACCAGTCGAATGCTTGATAGTAGTGTACTGTATCATGCAAAAATTAAAAAAATCAAATGAGCCGTATAAACACTACAATAAAATGAAATAAATGGTCAATTACACAAATCACCCTGTTAATTAATAAAGAAGAGGAGTTGACATTTTTAGTGGCCACATGATATGCTCCCTGAGGGACTCTACATATGGTAGAAGTATGTAAAGTTCCTCATGACTCACCCTGTATAAAGAGGTGATATAATAAATATGAGGAAGAATAATGATGGCCAAGACTTCCATCTCATGTATGTTACGTCCAATGCATTGTGACAAACTGGTTACCAACAAGAAAATTGTATATACCATTTTTTTAAGTAAAAACGTTGCACGTCACGATTTATACAAAGTGACGTCACTTGTATCTAAAATTTCCAGAACATCAACCTAAGCGTTCAAATTTCCCTAACTCAGTTAATAATACGACACCCACACAGAACTGCTCGATCTTATAGGCGTCAACATGGTATAATAATCAGAAAAATGTAATTATTATTATATTGGGAATTTTAGAATGATATTAATTAAATAACCAAAAACGTTTATTATTATTAATAATATAAATTTTAGGAAATAACTGTTTAAGTTTAATATTCCACAAAATAATAATTTTAATTAAATATATTATACAATCGCACACCACTGATAAGGGAATGCTTCAAATTTCAATCACAGTTCAGCGTTTGGCAAAATTGTTTAAAGTGTTGGCGCTTTATTAGAGTAAGAATTTTGTTTATGTTTCTTCTTTCCTCTCAATTTCTTACACAATTTGATTCACAATATATTATATCTTAATAAATTGTATTTATAAATACATATTAAATATCGCTTAATAGCTTTAGAAACTAATTATTGTTGTGTATTGTGATTGTGCTATGCCAAAAACAACTGAATAGTTTGTAGAAAGCTGATAAGCTGAAATTTTGGAAATGTAATTATTTTTTTTATTTTAAAAATTCAATTGACTAGGGTATTATATTCTTCAATAGTTGAAATTATTTTAAAAATTCCTCACTTATTAACTATTCTGATATTTTGGCAACGCTGTGGGGTTCTGACGTTGTAAATATTGAATGACGTGCACGCATTTTTATATGAAAAATTCTATAACAATTTTTTAGAAATTTTATTATAAACTAAAAAACCGTGTTTAAAAAAATCTTACTTAAACTAGTTGTTCCAGTATTTTTTTTTTTATTTAAATAATTTTATTGTAAATTTAAGTTCTTTTAAAAGGTCTTGAAATTATAAATAGATCTTATTAGGACAAAAAATATATTAATAGACTTTTCTGGTGTTTTCTAGGTAAATTTCCATTTTCTCTCACTTTACTTATATGACATATTTTCTGGTTTTATTTAATTCTCATATCTTGTTTTATCGATATATATATATATATATATATATATATATATATATATTAATATATATATATCGCGTATTATTATATAAATTATATTATTCTATTATTACATTATTAAAAAATAAAATGGAAAAATATTCATATACACATAATAATGACTTATGAAATGGAATATCTAGAAGAACACTACATCTTAAGGATGAAAACGAGTCTTGTTAAAAAGCAATCGCAATTTGTATTCAGCAAATATTCAGTGATACACCAAAAGAACTCACTGAGAGCAGAAAAAAGATAAACGTATAAGCATCTACAAACGACATACTTACACAATTTCTGAAGATTCATAACCAATATTTCCATCAATTGTTTTTCTTGTTTTATATTCATTATCATTTTGACTAGTGTTGGCCCTCGGAATTCTAGAATTAATTGTATTTCTATTATCAAATCTCCTAGGATTTTGCCAATAATCTTGGTATTTAACGTTACGCAGTTTGGGTTCAACAATAGGTGCCTCTGTTCCATTCCTTAAATTAAATGAACTTCTATGAAAATACATAGTTATACAACAAGTTAGAGTAGAATTTCTAAATTTCACAGAACGAGTAAGTACTTATGAAAAACAATTCTGGAATTGCATTGCTAGACCAGGCGAAAAGCTCGGCTTCTTAAGGAAAAATATTCCCATGAGCGAAGCTTATACACTGGCGTTGTATTGCTTTTTTTTACAGTAAAATGTTGAAGCGAGTGTCACGGAACTAGCGCCACGAGAAGGCGTCGTCACGGGTAGCGTCATAGAGTAGCTGTTCTTGACATCGATTTACGACTCTCAATTTGTTTCTAGTCATCATATATTTACTCTAAGCAGGTTTAAATTAAAACTGCTTGAAAAATAACAAAATATAGACATTAAATGAGAAGTAAAAAATTAAAAGAATATCTGTCACTAAAAGATTTGATTCGTTACGATTGTCAAAATTTAATAAAATTCGCAGATGTCATCCGATTAATAACAACATTGAATCATCTGTTTAAATTTTTAAAATAATTCTCGTTTTAAAATAATTTCATATAAAAACAATTATTATTTTAACACATATTTAGTTTATATAATAACTAAATTTACTATCAAATGATATTTATTTATATTTTCATAATTTCATACACATATAACTTCATGTAAATATAATTTATTACTTTATTACACAAGCAAGGAGACATAACAGATTTAAAAAAAAACTACCGTCCTATCGGTTTGCTTTCACACATATATAAACTTTTCACAAAAATTATCAAAAAAGACTTGACGCTAAATTAAACTTTTATCTCCCTAGAGAACAAGCTTAGCTTAGCCTAGATCGGGATACAGCACTAACAACCACTTACTAGTGGTAGAGAACCTAATAGAGAAGTCTGCAGAATACAACAAACCATTGGCACTGATATTGGTCGACTACGAGAAAGCATTCGATACCATAAGCCATCAGAAAATGTTAAAAGCATTGACAGAATGCCGAATAGACCATCGGTACACTAACATAATTAAATATAACTACCAAAATGGCACAGCTAGCGTAAGACTATCTGAACAAGAAACCAGTAAATTCTTTATACAGCGAGGAGTACGGCAAGGAGACATAGTCTCTCCAAAACTATTCATGACGCTTTTAGAACATACTTGTAAGAAAGTATATCTGAACGAGCATGGTATTAACATAAATTGAGAGAAGCTCAGTCATTTGAGATTTGCAGATGGCATCGTTCTTATAGCCCAGGGGTCTCCAAACTACGGCCCGAGGGCCACATCCGGCCCGCGGAGACATACTTGAAAACTCCTTTTAGAGAACAAATATTTTTTATAGCAAATAAAATGTTTGTGATAAGTTGGATAAAGAAAACAGAATGGTAATGAGTAAAGACATGTATAATTTATGCAGTAAATTTAACTTCAGCATATAATAACTAACAAATTATTGAAATGAATCCAACTAACATTTTATACATTGTAAGTAATGAACAACACATACCTTATAACAAACATGACATATGAAATGCTAATGAGATGTATGTAATTGAGATTTTCCACCGACAATAGTTTGTAGTTGTGGACTAATTTTACTTGTACCAATTATTAAAAGAGATTTAAGATGCTCGTCAGTTAATTTAGATCTGTATACATTTTTTGTGTACTTCATTTTGGAGAAGGTTTTCTCACACAAATAAGTAGTACCAAAAACGGAAAACAGCCCACGAGCAAATTTATGCAAATTATCAAATTGTGTCAGTGGAAGACTCTTATAAAATTCCAACAAAGATGAGTTTTCATATTTGTTCTTAATTATATCACTGCACTGAAGATCAATCATTTCCATTTGAAGTTCCGGGGCTAGGGTTTCAATGTCAGCATCAAAAGGATTCTGAAAAATCTTAATTTGATTCGCAATGGCATCAAAGTCCGAGAAACGAGTATCAAAATTTATCTTCAAAGCACTCAAAGTTTCGATTGCAAAATCGATAGGAAACTCAGTCTCAGTAGTGTGGCTGAATATTTCACATGTTTTAAAATGTGAAAAACATTTACTTCGTAGTTGTGATTGAAACAGTATCAATTTCATCCGGAATGACTTGATATTAGTGTATAAATCAGGAAGATGCTGGTTTTCTCCTTGCAATCTCAAATTCAGTTCGTTCACATGTTTTGTCAAATCAACATAGAATGCTAACTTCCATAGCCATGCGTTGTTTTGTAATTCAGTAAGAGGGCGGTGCTTTTCATTCAAAAAAATTTCGATCACTGCTCGAAGTTCAAAAAAGCGCTGAAGGACTTTCCCACAACTAAGCCAGCGTACGGCAGTATGATAAGGTAAGTCTGTTTCTCCAATCTCTGCAATAAATTGTCGGAATTGTCGGTGATTCAACCCAAAAGATCTGATGAATTAACAGTTGATATGACTGGTTTCAGAACGTCAGACATATCCAAACATTTTCCGCACAAAGACTGTTGATGAATGATACAATGTAAGACTAATGGTTTTGAGCCGCCGTCATTTTCTACAGCCTTTGACACAAGAGCGACCACTCCTTTATCTTTCCCACTCATGTTTTTGCCTCCATCAGTTGTAATACATTTCAAGTTTTTCCATCGAAGGTTCTTTTTATTAATGGCCATTTCAACTCCTTTAAAAATATCGGTACCAGTAGTTGTGCATGAATACTATACATATCAAGAAGTTCTTCGTGCACTTCATAGCTTTTATCTACTCCTCTAATATAAATCAACACCTGAGCAGTATCTGACACATCCGTTGACTCATCCAAGGCCAAAGAAAACCACTCAACATGTCCATTTTTGTCGAACAGTTGAGAGGATATATTTTCAGCGATGTTTTCTACCCTTCGAGCCACAGTGTTTGCTGACATACTGACAGTTTTTAATAAATTTACCTTTTCAGGGCACATTTCTTCGACTACTGCAATTATGCATTCCTTGATCATTTCTCCATCGGTGAATGGTTTTCCACGTTTTGCAATTTCAAGAGCCACACGAAAGCTGGCACGAGTTGCCGCCTCTTGTTCAGTTTTGACTTTTGTAAATAAAGATTGCTGCGATTTCAATCCGCACTTCAAAGCTTCGAATTTTTCTGTCCGCACAATTCCTGTATATTTTGAGTAATTTTGAGAATGTTTTGTTTCATAATGACGTTTCATGTTATATTCTTTAAGAACGGCTATGCTTTCATTGCAAATCAAACATAGCGCCTTGTTACTGGACTCAATTACGAAATACTGAATGTTCCACTGATCTTTGAATTTTCTGCATTCACTATCAATTTTTCGCTTCTTTTCCATTCTACTAAATCACACACAAAAGCAACAATTCAAATCAAATCAAAATACTGTTACACGCACAAACTTGTTTTAAGGAGGTACGCCCTATTTTATTTCACAACAGTTTCATAGGAACTGACTTGTAGTTACGCCACTATTGTCATCGCTTCGTCCTCGCACTCGTCCCACTTAGGTGGGGTCTTTAGTCTCCTCCCAGTTATCAGGTGCGTAACACTTAAGTGATTTGCGGCTATTATTTTTCAGACTTCTTGTTATTTCGGATAGTTAAGTGTGTTTGTGACAATTTCTAACGATGGCGTTGAAAAATAGTAGAAAGAATAATTATGTTATTAGTGGACAATCTCGGGAGAGATTGGAGATTTCCACTGGTGGAAATATTTTGTTTGTTTATGTCTACCTTGTATTCAGCAAAATTCTATTACACATAAAATACAGAAATATATAAAATATATAAATAATAATAAAATATAAAAAAATATATATATAAAATACAGTGTTGCCATCTTGGCCCTCGGAACTTACTGGAGTAATTAGTATGGCCCTAAGGCTGGAAAGTTTGGAGACCCCTGTTATAGCCGATCGTATGGGTGATGCAATAATAATGTTTGAAAAAATGATATCACGCTTCCTTGGAGGTCGGGCTAAAGATTAATATGAACAAGATGCAAATAATGACTAATCTTGTGCTAAATCGAAATACTGCTGTTGATTTAAGGAATATTGTGCAGACTACATCGTATAAGTACCTAGGACATAAAATTCGGTTGAGCAGAGATAAACAGACATGTGAGCTCCCACGTCGCATAGGATTAGCCGGGGCAGCGTTTGGTAAATTAAACTATGTACTTAAATCGGATCTACCCATATGCCTCAAAAGGAAAATCTTTGATCAATGTGTGTTACCTGTACTAACTTATGGAGCGGAAACATTAACACTCACAAAAAAAGGTAGTTAATAAGATTTGCGTGACTCAGATGGCTATGGAGCGCTAGATGTTGGGTGTTTCTCTGAGAGACCGAATTTCAAACAAAAAAAAACCTCGTAGAACAAGACCAACAGACACTATCGAAAAAATCACGTCGTTTAAATGGAATTGGACAGGACAGGTCACCAGATTATCAGAGAACCGATGGACAAAACGTATTTTAGAGTGTAGAGTAGAGTATTTATTTAACTACATAACAGATACAAATATCGTTTGTAGCAACTCAAAAAACATACATAGTATTAAAAAAGGAATATAAAACGTAACTTAAATATATACGAACAAGAACACATATTAAACAGAAAAACATTTATGGCAAAGTTACGGTAAGCAGTTCAGTGGATGGTCTGCAATGAGTCATATATTCTTCTGAGCAGTAAAAACAATGTTTTAGAAGATATTTATTTATCTTTATCAAAACTATTACTGCTTAGCTGTTTTATACTTTTTGGTAAAATATTGTAATAGTTATAATTAAGACATTTTTTTCTGAAAGGCTTAATCTACAGCGATTTGTTCGTAAGTAGTGACAGTTTCGAGTAAAGACCAAGGCAAGAAGCAATACGGAGCAGAGGACGCCCACTAACTAGATGGACTGACGACCTGAAGCGTGTTAGGGTGCGTTCATTACGGAAACATTGCATCCTATCCTCACCTACATAGATCATAGCATTGACAGTGAACGCTCGCAT